ACACACACACACACACACACACACACACACACACACACACACACACACACACACGAGAAACTGCTCTTGTTTCAATATAGTATCAAAAAGAATCAATATAGTATCAAAAAAGAGTTAAATTTTCATCCCTTGCTATTATTTTCCATAAGTGTTATTGCTTTTAAAATCTAGTGGATTTATTGTTATTCTTTAAGATTTAGTAAATGATCACCTAATCCTTGCCTAGTTTTAAAATTTATAAAACAGTATAACACGTAAAGAAAAGTGCTTTGTAGTCTTCAGTAATTGAGGCAATACAGCATTCCTGAGGCTGGAAGAGCTTGGGAACCCACTGGTTGTGCAGTGGGCACACAGATGGAGTAGCCCATCTCACTTTGAATTCAGCTCTCATTCCTTTCTAGCTCTGTACCTCTTGGTAAGTTACCTAAGTACCCTGGGGTTCATTTTCTTATCTAAAAAATGAGGCTTATCAGGTAAATTTTATAGTTAAATCAGAAAATGCCTCTATGGGCAGTGGTGGTGCATGCCTTTAATCCCAGCACTTGGGGGCAGAGGCAGGTAGATTTCTGAGTTCAGGGCCAGCCTGGTCTACAGAGTGAGTTCCAGGACAGCCAGGGCTATACAGAGAAACCCTGTCTCAAAAAAACAAGAAAGAAAGAAAGAAAGAAAGAAAGAAAGAAAGAAAGAAAGAAAGAAAGAAAGAAAGAAAGGAAGGAAGGAAGGAAGGAAGGAAGGAGAGAAAGAAAGAAAATGTCATCTAAAGCACTTAGCAAATGATTATACTTGTAGGATAGTAACTCTTAGACATCTGTGGTTGCACACATCCATTATGTAAGCTCTTGAGAAATGGAGGCAGAAGGCTCAGGAATCAAGGGTAACCTCGGCTACAATAGTAAATTCAAGGCCAACTGGGACTACATGAGACCCTGTCCCCCAAAAAATCAAAATCATCATCACCATCAACAATATAATTTTAATCACTATTTTATAAACCATGTGAGTTTGGATCTGGAGACCACTCTTAGTACTTACCAGAACTTAAGTAGAACAATCTCAAAAGAATGATGGGTGTGGTCTAGTTGATGTTCTGTTAGATGAAGAATAGAAACTGAACAATCATCTTCATGACTAGAAAACATAGATGTCGGCCATCGTGGGATTTACTTATTCCATTTTGGACAAATTAGTAATCTTAGTGACAGGAACTCAAATGGAAGAATTAATACGCCCAATAATATGCTTTAACCAGCCAAAGAGACTCCTGCTGAGGTGTAGCTTTAAATGTGTTGAAAGGTACACTCTACTCCTCATACAAACAGAAGACAGCCTTTACATGAAGAAAACTGGTGTAGTGGCCCCTTTGAAGCTATAATTAACTCTTTGAATTAACACCAGCAAATGAAGCTTTAAAAATACTTGCCCTCCACTTTTGGGAACCAAGGAGGTATGCAGACTTGTCAGTTGTCCCTACTTATTTGAAATCACAGTCCTGAGTCAGAAAAGGCAACAGACATCCTCAGGAAGCTGCCACAGAACGCTGGCACTCATTCGATGGTGATGCCTTTGCTGTAAGTCTGTATAGCAGTGTGCTGTAATGTCTGTGTCATAAGCAGGAGTTGGCTGGTGCCAGGGCTCTGTGGCTCAGTAGGGTATAAGCTGCAGGACTTCCAAGTGGTAAATTGTTGTTTGCTCCTGAATATATTCTAGACCAAGCGTGCTTCATGGTCTAGAAATGCCTAACTTCTTCCCAGCAGGTTTGTTAATGACTTTCAGAGGTCTTGAAAATCTTAGCACAAACTTTAATCATTGAATTTTTTATAGTGAAAGATAATTTATGGTTTAAAAATATTTATTTTTATTTTGTATGTATACAGATGTTTCACTCTTGTGTATGTCTGTGCAGCACATGTGTGCTGTGCCCTGGATGCCAGAAGTTAGACATGGTTGTAAGCCGCCATGTGGGTGCTATAAACTGAGCCTGCAAGAGTAGTAACTGCTAAGTGCTACTCCTAACTTATTTTAATTTAGAAAATATATATGTTATACTTACATATACAGATGTCTGAAGATCGTATGGTTCTAGGAGATTTTCCCCACATTTTCTTGTGGTATTTTCCTAATTTGTATAAATTTTCCTAATTTAATATGTGAATTTGTATGATTGTTTTAACCGGATAAAACTTTCTAGGACAGTAGGTAGATCTGAATAAGTCAGTTACCCATGCTGCCAAAGCTTCTGGCTTAGGACATCCAGGTCTCAGCAGGGTGTGGGCAGTGTTTGTGGATTAGAGGACAGTCTGGCTGGAAGAGTTACAGTTCTTGGGGTATCTTAGTTACTGTTCTATTGCTGTGAAGAGGCATGAAGAGGCCATGATCAAGGCAACTCCTATAAAAGAAAGGTTTAATTGGGAGCTGGCTTACAGTTTCAGAGAAGAAGCAGGCAGGCATGGTGCTGGAAAAGTAGCTGAGAACTTTATATCTTGGTCTGCAGGCAACAGGCAGAGAGAGTGAGACTTGGCCTGGCATGGCCTTTGGAAACTGCAAAGCCTGCTCCCAATGACACACCCTCTCCAACAAGGCCACACCTACTAATCCTTCCCAAATAGTTGAACCAACTGGTGACTAAGCATTCAAATACATGAGTCCATGGGGCCATTTTCATTCCAACCACCACACAGGGCATAGGCACTGGGAAGTGGGAACCAGAGTCTAAGCAGAACAGGCAGGTGTCTGTGTGTGGTAAGGCCTGGGAAGAATATTGGGGGCAGCTAAATCAGTGATCGGAGGGAAGGAATCCCTGGTGGTCTAACATGGGGAGTCAAACCCTTGTAAGGTAAGGAGGGCATCTATATATAGAGATAGCAGCCCATGGTGGTGCTTCCAGAGTCCAAATAGGCTAAGAGGATGGGAGGATGTCAAGAGGGGGAGCCTTCAGATTCTGCAAGAAGAGCTTGCTTATATATTGGGTGAAAGAAAGGAAAGATTAATCAAGTTGATCAAAATACTTAGGGTAGTTTTAAGTAAAGGTTATGCATGTAGTAGAAAAGGAGAAAAGAACAAGAACCTAATGGTATTACATTAAAACTGGAGTTTTTGATGCACATCCATGGTTCTCAGTATATAGATAGGTGGTTATAGACACAGACATAAACAGGTTCATACATAAATACTGGCATTCTTTAATTTACACTGTGCTGTAAAGATATGCTCAAAAAACGGATGAGAATTGTTTCCAAGGATACAAACTGTCCTTGTAGAATATCCCACTGACCAAGTCTTGGGCAATTTAAACAAGAAAATAGGTATGCAAAATAAATGATACATTTCATTGAGAACATGAGAGTCTGTGTTGGGGCTGCAGCTCAGTGGCACGGCACTTGCCTATCATGAAGAGCACCAAGACAAACAAATCCAGCCAGGAATCTACACATCCGTAATGACGTACAGAAATACGCAGTTTGATGGAAGGATACTCAAATTTTTTTAAAAGAATTCCTACAAAGAGATAAAGAGTTTGAGAGAAACCTGGCAGACATCAGTGTTTGATACGTGGATATCATCTGTAAAGGGGCGAAGTTATGATCACTGATAGGATACAGCGCAGGCATAGCTCTGCTTCCATGATATTCCTGGTGAAGACACATGACCCTGGGCTGGGGATAGAGCTCACCGTGAAGCATGTGCCTGGAGCCCAGCAGTCAGGCCTATTCCAGATTAGACTACGGACACACAGTCTACAGCTGGATCATTCTGTATCAACTGGCTGAGCGTGGTGAATGGGGAATGAGAATTATATGCCAGTATGTGTTAGCATTAATTTCCTGGTCTTGACACTATGTAGAAGGATGACCTTATTTGTAGGAAATACATAGAAAAGTATTCAGGAACCTTGGGGTCATTAGATTGGCAATTTACCATGGCTTGGAGGAAAATCATTTGCATTATATGTGACTTAAGAATCATAATTGCTTCTGAGCACAGTGATGCTCCTTTAATCTCAGCACTCAGGAGGCAGAGACAGGTGAATCTCTGAGTTTGAGGCCAGCCTGGTCAATAGAGTAAGTTCCAGAACAGCATCTACTACATAGAGAAGCCCTGTCTCAAAACAAACAAACAACAAACAAAAAACAAACGAACAAAATAAAACAAAAAAACCCAAACAAGCCATAATTGTTTAAAAAAAAAAACCTAAAAGTAACATAAAAAGCATCAGCCCAACTTCAAGAACCAATAGAATGAAGGTTTAAGCATCTCCTTTACATCCTCCTCATATCTCGGTGTGGAAGCACACCTACCTAGATCTGTAGTATGAACATGTATATTCAAATTGATGCCCCTTAAGGTTGAAAAATGAGTGTAGGGAAAAAGTTTTTAATTGTGTATGTGAGATATGCAGATGACATATACTTGCAAGTGTGTGAGAGAGTAACCTGGGTGTCCTCTATTGTTCCACCTTATTGTGGGTGTGTGAGCATGTGTGTAGGATGTGTCTGTGTGGGCATCTCGACTTCCTTCATCATCTCCCATTTTGTTCCTTTGAGGAACAGAGGCCTCTCACTGAATCTACAGCTCATATTTCTTTTAAGTGGATTGACAGCCGGCAAGCCCCAACAATCCTCCTGCCTCTGCTCGACTCAGTGCTGGGGTTATGGGTGTGAGTGGAGTGACATCTGCTTTTATTTACATGGGTGCTGAGCTCTGGTCTTCATGCTTGCACAGAAAATACTTCTAACAACTGAACCGTATCTGCAAGTTTCTCCAGCTCCTTCAGCCTTACTTCTTGAGTCAGGATGTCTCACTGAATCTGGATCTCACTGGTTGGCTACAGTAACTGTCAGGAAGCCTGGGGTCCTCCTGTCTCTGACTTCAGCACTGGGGTTAGAGGCACCCACTGCCATGCCTGGCTTTTTCTGAAGGTGCAGGGAATTTGAGCCTCTGTTGTGTATTTTTATTTAACACTTTAAACTTGTGTGTGAATTTAAGTGATCTAACCACCCCTCCACACCTCATCTCTTTTGAGATTAAAATCTCACTTCATGGCATGGCCTTGCTTGGCTTGGAACTCAAGCTGACTTTGAACTCATTGAGATACACCTGCCTTTTCTTTCTGAATACTAGCACTAAAGACATATGCCCCCATGTCTGGCTATTTCTCTCTTTTAAAAAAGTTTGGGTCGGGTGAGGGTAGGAGTTGAGACAGCTTCTCAGGTAATCTAAGGCTAACCCAAACACCTTATTCCTGCTCCCATCGCCTGCTGGAATCACAGGTGTATGCCACTATGCCTAGCTCCATATTAGTTTTTGTAATTTTATTTTACGATCTGTATGTAGATGGACCACTGAACTATTAGAAAACTAAAATTTCAATAATAATAAACATTTATAGTTTACAAAGCAGTTTCACAACCATAACCTAATTTGATTTTGATAATCACATTTTATGTATTCACCAAAACAAAAAAAAAACCAAAAACCAAGCCCCTCATTGTTATCCCTGTGATGTACAAATAGATATTATTATGATTCTTACCTTATAGGGGAGACCGAAGGAGACATAGATATTACTCTAGGAGTAGGAATCAAGGTTCTGGTCCACAGGATGTGACTTAAACCTGCTGCCTCTTACTGATTTCTGACCTGCTGGTGATCCAGACCTGTTTATCAACACATAAGAATAGGAACAATAAAAACATAAAATAACTGAAAATAACCTCAGGTAGAAGAGCATATCACATATGTGGAGAGAAATATGTAACTGTGAAAACTGCCAGGGATGCTTTGAATAGTTTGCGTCTCAGTCTCCTCATCCCCTTCGTTTTCATTTCAATTAATAAATTAAGTGAGATGCTTTAGAGCCAGAGAAACACTTATTCAGGAAAGCTGATAGGATTGTCTTTCTCCTTTTGGTGGTTATTGTTCCAAGAACCCCTTTGTTCCTTGTAATGAGGGTAAAGACAGATGGGTTCGCCAGAGACTTTTCCTTGTTAAGGGAAGAGACCCTGCTGCTTCTGTGGCTCCAGGCAGTCCTAGGGGAAAGTTGCTTGTCCCTGTGTTTTTCCTTGGAGATCTGCTGCCTTGTTACTGTGAACTGTCGTAATTGGTCCAAATTGTGCAGCATTATGAGTGATGTCTTTCTTGAAAGCTAATGGAACAGCTCAAGACCATTCTTCAAAAGAGAAGGAACTTAGAGAGACTGGCACAGTGGATGTTTAGACAGTGAGACCGGCTGTTTTCAAACAAGTCTAACTCATTATCTGCCTGGCAGAGAAGACAGCTTAATAACAGAAAACAGTCCTATTATCAGTGTGCTTCTATTAGCCAGTTTATCTGTTGAGATCAGTGGGCAGGACCCCATCTGTTACCAGAAAGTTGCTTTTCATCAAATCTGCCCCCAACAAGAGCCCCAGTTAAGTACCATCAGCTGCCCTCCAGTGTAATTTCCATAATAACTCAATTCAGGGTATAGAAAAGAAAAGGCAGCTAAGAGGATCTTGTAAATTTACTGAGGGTTTAATTTGGTCATTACTTTGGCAAGAAAATTAGTAGGAGGGGCTCAAGTGTGATACAACAAAGGCTAAAAAGAGGCGTGCAGAACTCTTGCTGGGCGAGGGACCTTGAAGGAAACGGTTGAATTGAGAGTTTGCTTTTCTGATAGCTTTTGGTGTCTTCTTGCTTTTTTTTTTTTAATTTTGTTTTCTAAATCATATTTCCGTTATTTAGGCTCAGATAGTAAGATTCTTATCCCACAATTATGTTGAATACTCAAAAATGAGTGTGTGTATGTGTGTGTGTTTTTATATAAAATACAATGAATATTCTGTTGTTATTACCATAAATTCTTCTGCTGTAGCACTGAATTTTCTATTTTTATTCTCTCAAAGGTCCATGACTCCAGCTCAGGCTGACTTGGAATTTCTTGAGAATGCCAAAAAGTTGTCCATGTATGGAGTTGATCTTCATAAAGCAAAGGTAGTGATTGATAACTTTGACCTTTAACGTGTATATATATATATATGCAGATGACACAGACCTGTTAATGTATATGGCACACTTGTTTTATCTTATACCTCTTAACAACATCTATTTATAGTATTTTATTTATTTAGGTTTTTTTTTTTGTTTTCTTTTTTGTTTTGCTTTTGAGACAGGGTTTTTCTGTGTAGCTCCTTGCCATCCTGGAACTCACTCTGTAGAGCATGCTGTCCTCGAACTCAGAGATTCACCTGCCTCTGCCTCCAGAGTGCTGAATCAAAGGCATGTACCACCATTGCCTGGCTATTTGTGGTATTTTAAATCTTTCCTGAGAAACAGTTTTGGCATGGTAGAAAATGTGTGTAATCTCAGCACTAGATGACAGAAGGGAGGCAGAAAGGTCTTGAGTTCAAAGGTAGTCTGGGGGATGTTGAGATGCTCAGCGTTTAACTGCATTGGCTGCTCTTCCAGACGGCTGACTTGACATGGTTTGATTCTCATACAGCGGCTTACACCATCAGTAGTTCTAGTTCCAGGAGATCAGATGCCCTCTTCTGGCTTTCCTGGGCACTGCAAGCATGTGGTGCACAGACATACATCAGTCAAAACACCCATAGACATAAAGTAAATCTAAAAACTGAAAGCTAGCCTGGGCTACATAGCAAGGCTCCCTACATGGGGGCCAAAGGAAAAGAAGGGAGGAGGAAGAGATGAAAAGAGCAAGGGACTATGGGAGAAGAACAGGGAGCTGGGTGTGCTAAGTCACACCTGTAATACCAGTTTTCTGGAGGCAAGAGGATTAAAACAAGCCTGGGCTACAGAGAGAGAAAAAGGAGTCAAATTGGTTTGTTTGTTTATGTTTTCAGACAGAACCTTACTATGTAGTCCTGGTCCGCCTATAACTTGCTATGTAGACTAGGGGTGGTCTTGAACTTAGAGAAGTTCATCTGCCTTCCAAGTGATAAGTTTAGAGGCCTGTGCCATCATGCCCAGCTGCCCAGCTTGAATTGATATGGCTTTTTTTTATATGTATAATTCTAGGTATCAATCCAGTTATCCCTTATTATTTTCACCATCAAAATATTGTAAAGATAAAAATGTGAACATCTAGAGAAAAATAAATTGTATTTTCTAAAATAAAGTTACATTTGAAGATACAGAGAGTTAGCAAGGTGTGTTTCAGTTTTACGGTGAGCATCATTCACCTCAGAATCACTGGGTGTCTGTTAAATATGCAGACTGCAGAGCTCTGCCCACGTTTATAGCTGGCTCGAAGAGGCTCTAGCTTCAGATATAATGACCATTCCAGACGATGCCAATGATGCCTAAGTCAGAACTGTTCCCCAAGGCCAGTGATTCTAGTGTGGTCTCTGAGTCAGTGGCAGTTAGCACCACCTAGAAACTTGTTAGAAATAAATGTTTCAGGTCTGTCCCAGAGTTGATAATCAAGTGAGTAGGTAGGAGCTCAAAAGTCTTTGTGACAAGCTCTCCGAGTGACTCATATGCACTGGATAAGCCATAACTCTTTTGAGAACTACTTACTGGGTCAGGAAATCAGAAGCATGAGCTTTAATCACCGACCTGCCTACATAATGCAAGTTGCTTGGCTACTAAATGGCTACTAAAATGGCTAGGGGTGTTACAAAGATTGCAAGGGAAAGGATTCAAGGGATGGTCACTTAGAGGAAGTTAACTAGTATGTGTGATGTAGACAGAACTGCATCCAGTAAGAAATAAGGAGAGATACTTGCCTCAGGAGGGAAGTGAGACTGAACATATAACTCGGATGGTAGAGTGCTTGCCTAGCACGCATGAAGTCCTAGGTTCAATCCCCAGCACAGAAATTGGATGTGTTGGTTCATGCCTATAATCCTAGCCTTTGGGGAGTAGAGGCAGGAGGATCAGAAGATCAGTATCACTCCTGACTAAATAGGGAATTTCAGAATAGCCTGGGATGCATATAAGACCCTGATTCAAATAAATAAAAACTTAAAACTGAAGAGATTTTATCATGGTGTCCAGGCATAAACCCAGAGCTAGAAAAATAGGAACCATGTATATAGAAACTACAGGGAAATCTACTTTTTAGCTCAATATGACAAGTTGTTTAGTAGAATTCTTCACAGATGTAATAGGCTTATCTCAGAGGATGATGAACTAACTCTTTTGATCTTATTTATTCTCAAATACTCAGAAAAATCACTTGCTAGAAACATAGAAACAGACATTCAAGCATCTGGTCTCTCTTGAACCTGTGGATGGTTTTCAGGATGCTCCTGGCCTGTGTCTTTCGAGTTTACGTGTAGGTTCTGTTCATGCTAGTAAAGTTGCATTGCACACTCTCAGTTTTCTGGAGCCAGCGCTGTTCTATAGATCATTCTGCACTGGACAGCAGCTCCCATAACCCTGTGAAGTGCTGTTAGGACATCAGAGCCTCGGCTCACGGGCACTTCCAGGGCAAGTCTGTTCGGTTTACATCTCATCTCCTGATGGAGGCTGGTGTTAGAGGTGGATAGAGCCATATAGCGTGTGTCTTTTAAAATGCTGCAGAGTAAAGTGTTTCTCCAAATAATGTCAGCAAATGAGAAAGGAAGCTAACAGGCTGGTTCAGTCGGTAGGCACCTGGCACCAAGCCTGACGGGCTGCTTAATCCCCAAGACCCATGTGGTAGGAGGGAGGCAGCTCCTGCAGGTCGTCTCCGACCTCCACAAGTACGTAACTTGTGGCAGGTATGTGCCCACCCATAATCAACTAACTAGGTTTTTTTAAATTTAAAAAAGAAAAAGATGGTTGTAACCTGTGGGCTTTAAGAACATAAGAGGGCATCATCTCAGCTACATAGTCATTGAATTGAAGCTGTGTGTGACTTACCTCTGTCATTCTTGTATATAACACATTGAGCTGCTAATAATTTCCTCTGTAGTCATTTTTAGGAAAAAGTAGTCAGGAAGCATTTAATTTTGGAAGCATTTGGGTTTGATAACTAGATAGTCATATGATTAATTCAGATGCAGTTTGTTTTTCTTAATTTATGTGGTGATTAATATTTTAATTTTTTTCTTAATAATTAGGTACATTAATATAATGCCATTTTCTTTAGTGTTCTTTCTAGGCTTAGGAATAGTACCTATAACTTAATATACTTAACATCAAATTTTTACTGTCAGATCTCTTATGCTAACTTTATGCAATACTAAACATGTCACAGTGGGTATGTGGAGATCTGAGAAAAGCATGGGAGTGTTTTCATTCCAGCCATGTAGATTTTGGGAATTTAACTCAGGTTGTAGGCTTGGTAGCAAACGCCTTTATCTGCTGGGTCATCTCACTGGCCTAATAGCGGTAACTCATGCCTTGATGCCTAGTTGGATTACTGGGGCTGTCCCCGACTTAGACATGATGCTCTAGTGGGAGAGGGCTGTTTTAAGGTTTGTTTTTATTGTAGGCTTTGTAACTGGCTCTGGCTATTGATCTCCTTAGATTATTTAGTAATAGCCAATAATGTGTTGAATACTTCACTTCTCTTTTTCAGGACTTGGAGGGCGTGGACATCATCCTAGGAGTCTGCTCTAGTGGCCTTTTGGTTTACAAAGATAAGTTGAGAATTAACCGTTTTCCTTGGCCCAAAGTGCTAAAGATTTCTTACAAACGTAGCAGCTTTTTCATCAAGATCCGGCCTGGAGAGGTACGCAACTTAAGTTTCTTTTCACCCAAACCAGACATGTGCTGAGACACCCCTTCCAGCCGGGCATGGCAGCCCATGCTTGTAATCTCCGTGCTCGTAATCTCCGTATTTGTAATCCTGGAAGCTGAAGCAGGGGGAAAATGTCAAGTTCAGGGTGAGCCTGAGATATAGGAAAACCCTGTCATCTAAGAAGTCCTCGTGGAGCTAATCCTAGCACATGTGAGGTGGAGAAAGGGGGAACAGGACTTCTAAGTCCAGCAACATGAGAGCTGTCTCTAACACCTACAAAACAAGAGTAAACAAACAAACCCCCAAATTGGTTGCCAAATTTCAGCATATACCCATACAATTTTAGCTTTTATATAAAAAAGCTGTCATGGTACAACAGAAAATTAATTGTTTAAATAGGAGTTCATTTTTTTGTTTTTGTTTTTAAAAAAAATAGAGATCTGTCTATGTAGCTCTCACTGTTCTAGAGATTTATTTAAGAGAGAGAGAGAGGGAGGGAGGGGGAGAGAGAGAGAGAGAGTCAGTGTGTGCATGCATGCATGTGTGTGTGTGTGTGCGTGCGCACGCGTGCGTGTAGGGAGCTGTATGTTTGGGTATGTGCACATGAGTATGTATAGGTTGCCCAGGAGGCAAGAGACACTGACTCCCCTGGAGCCGGAGCTCTTTTACTGTCGGATCTCTTCTGGTAACTTTATACAGTAATGGGCATGTACATGTCACAGTGGGTGTGTGGAGATCCGGGGACAGCGTGGAGTTTTTTACTCTACCATATTCATTCTGGGGATTGACGTGGGGGTGGCAACTGAGCTGAGGTCCTGTGCAAGAGCAGTATGTGCTTTGAGCCACTGAGTTCTTTCCTGCTCAGGACATTTTTTTTTAAAGCTCTAAAGTCTTCTCTGCCACTTTCTAGAGAAGTAATTCTGGAAAGATCAGAACTGAGCATCCTTATATTCAAGAATAGTAACTTTTCTGTCCCTGAGAAGCCCAGGCTGACTGAAGGTGGCTTTGTGTGTGTCTATCACCATCTGCTGGTAAAACGTGGCACTGTCTCAGCCGGGAAATACTGGCTGTGCCTTAAAAGCACTGTTTCATTCCATAAATTCCATAATCATGTGCATGTGCAAGCACCTATCAGTATCTTCCCTCCACATTTCAAATCCATGACTCTTAACAAGAAGGACATTTTTGAGACAGGGTCTCAGTGTGTAGCCACAGCTGGCCTGGAAGTCAAGATCTGCTTGCCCTGTCTCTAGTGCTGATACTGAAAGGCATGCACCACCACAAAACGTTTATTAAACAGGTTCTTTGTGCCAGTGACTATTCTAGGGGCTAGAAATATAACCATAAGTAAAAGGAAGCTATTCCTCAGCCATCTTGCATTTTAATATAGGAAGGCAGAAAGAAATACATGCATAGAAAGAAATCTTAATAAATGTTATGGGAAGTCCTTGGCTTGAAGTCTCAGCTACCCAATATACAGTGAAAAATACACAATTCTTCACAGAATCAGTTGAGAACAGCAGGATTCTGAAAAGTGGGGTGCCATGACTACTGCAGAGGGGAGCAGATAACTTCTCTGCCCTCAGAGAACATGTGTAAAGTATACTTGGATCTAGTCAGACTGTTGCTGGCAATAAGAGCATTTAAAGCAAACCTGCTTCCTTTTCCATCTTATAAAGTGTGCTTGAGGTGGAAACAAAGAGGTGGACGGAAGGCAAGGGTTTCTAGTAGCCCTGGCAGTGCTAGGAAAGAAAGCTTGTAATCATTCAAGGACAAGGAAATAAGTCCCGGAGACTTACTGTACAACGTGATGACTGGAGGTTACAAGAAAATTGCTGAGAGGTACACTAGCATGTGTGAGGCCAAGGTTTAGTCTTCAGCACTGGCTCTCTTCCACAAATCACGAAGAGGATGAGTTTTAAGTATTCTTAAAAGACTCATGAGTCCATCCGTAGGCCAGGTAGCCTCACTCAGTTATTCTGCAAGTTACGCATACACCAGACATTCTCAACAAGTCAATGTGTGTCAATTTTCACTTGTCATTTTTAAAAATTAAAAGAATCTAGGCTGGACAAGGAGGCACACACCTCAATTCCAGAGCCCTGTGATTTATATAGCTAGGCAAGCCAGAGAAACATAGTGAGACCCTGCCTATTTATTTATTTATTTATTTATTTATTTATTTATTATATGTAAGTACACTGTAGCTGTCTTCAGACACCCCACAAGAGAGCATCAGAAATCATTACAGATGGTTGTGAGCCACCATATGGTTGCTGGGATTTGAACTTGTGACCTCTGGAAGAGCAGTCAGTGCTCTTAACCACTGAGCCATCTCACCAGCCCCCCCTTTTTTTAAAAACAACAACAACAACAACAACAACAAAATCCCCAGTCATCTGGTTTGTGGCAAATGCTTAGTTCCCAATACTGATTTCTACTGCGTAGTAATAGTGGCTGGCTGGAGCAGTTATTGGATGTCTCATTTCCTGGCTATTGAGTAATCTAAAGCTACAAGCACAAGTCTGTGACTAAGGAAAAGCAGCTTTAGACAGTCAAGGGTTGACTAAAATATGTCGGGGCAATGCCTGCATACTGTGTGTGTTCTAAGAAATAAGACGTATAAGTAATAGAAGACCTATTTCCTGGCACTGTTGCTTTGGACAAAACTCTGTCACTGAGCAGATTTCTTTTAGTAAGAAAAAAATGTTAATGTAAGTTTTTTTTTAATTTAAAAATATTGTGTGTGTGGATGTTTTGCCTGCATGTGTGTCTGTGTGCCGCATACATGCCTAGTGCCCATGGAGATCAGAAGAGGGTGTTGGATCCCTGGGGAGCAGATGGTAGTGAAGTGGTAATGGATGGTTGTGAGCCACTATGTTGGTTTTAGGAATTGAACCCCATTCCTCTGGAACCACTGAACTATCTCTCCAACCCCCAGACATTCTTTGTATGGTATCTCTTCGATGGTATCATATTTCTCTGGCTTTGTGTCATTATAATGGAATAATACTTATGTTTTATGTTTATTTGTATCTCTATAGCAAGAACATTATGAAAGTACCATTGGCTTCAAGCTTCCCAGTTATCGAGCAGCTAAGAAATTATGGAAGGTCTGCGTGGAACATCACACGTTTTTCAGGTACTACTGTTCTGCTCATGTATGTCTCAAGGCTGCATTCTCTGTGTCCTGCTTCTATTTTGAACCTGCTGTTGAAAGTGCCTCTGTAGAACTGGCATTGTATTTAGCTCAGGTGAGCAGCTTAACCAAGGCAGTGTGAATCTAGTTCTTCCTCTCCTGACTGGAAAGTGTAGCTCAGCGTTCCCAGGGTGCCTTTCCATCCACTTAAAAGAACAGTAGAAGTAAGGAATGAGACTTAGTGCTTGCTAGGGGCTCTGGTTACTTCCACAGCAGAGCTCAGTTAGTCCTGGATATAGGTGGCTATAGACCTGACTCCTAATAGCTTTGTGGCTTTAAGCAAGTAACTTCCTCATGGAATGTGTCAATTTCCTGTATCTGTAAAATGATGAAAACATTTCAAGGATGTAGTGTGAATCCTGCAGTGCTATCCGGCATTTTGTAAACCGTGAGACCTTATCTATAGAAACTTAATGTTTTTAATATTATAGCTCCCAACTAAATTAATTCTGGTTGCTTGAGATATGACCTAGACTTTAAGTAAGGATTGCTTGACTAGAAATCTCCATAAGAGTTTGGAAACACCTTTATTCTTGGTTTGATTTTTAGTTTTATAGTCACAATCATAAAGTAATGCGATAAAATAATAAAATATCAGAATTATTATCATTTTTCTTTCCCAGACTGACTTCTACAGACACCATTCCCAAAAGCAAGTTTCTTGCCCTGGGATCCAAATTTCGATACAGTGGCCGGACTCAAGCTCAGACCAGGCAAGCCAGTGCCCTGATTGACAGGCCTGCTCCACACTTTGAGCGGACAGCAAGCAAACGGGCATCCAGGAGCCTCGATGGAGGTTTGTATTAGATATTATTGATGTCACCGTGATCTTTAGAGAGAGATAAAGGAAGCATAAGGGTTTTAATTGTTGTTGTTGTTTTGCATTGTTTTGAAATAAGAACTGACTATATCTGAGACTGGCCTCAAGCTCTTTGGCTTCCTGTTCTCACCTCCTGAGTGCTTGGGTTACAAACATAGCACCATGCCCAACTCGGAAGTATGATTATTTATAAGAATCCTACTGTCTCCGATTTACAAAGAACCTCAGTGGTCAAGTGAAAGGGGTGCTGCTGACTAATTCAGACATAAGGGTGTGAGGCTGGGTGTGATGGTGCAGGCCCTTAATCCTAGTACTCCAAGCTCTTGGGAGACAGAGGAGGTGGATATCAGTGCTAGCCTATCCTACACAGGAGTTCCAGGCCAGCCACAATGAGACCCTGTCTCCAAGCACACAAACAAAAAAACCATAAACAACAACAACAAAAAAAACACAAACAAGAAAACCATCTTAAGAATAAGAAGTGAAGTTCACTGCAGGGCAGTAATGGCTGAATAGCAAGGATTCTACAAGTATTTAACTCGTTCTTTACTTTGTTCAGTCACTTGTTTTGCATGTTTTATGTGCCTGCTGTTGTTCCCTGGAGACACTGCCGTGGGCATCAGACATGGCCTCCATCCTCACGGAGTTTTCAATCCGTACTTAAAAACAGAAACAAATAAATAACTTCAGGCAGTTGTGAGTGCTTTGAAGAAAATAGAATGGGGAAATGTTGTGCCAAGTGTCTCAGGTGGGGAGATGCAGGAATGTTTCAGATCAGGTAATCCAGTTACAGTCAGAAGGCTCCCCAGAACAACGTCAGTTAGTTAAACCTGAACGCTGAGAAGGAACTAGCCATCCTAAAGTCTAAACGAAAGAGTGGCCAGCACGTGTTCCTGAAGGGAGGAGTGAGCTCTGCCTTGTTCCAGCTCTCTGTGCCAATGGAAATACATGTTGTGACTTGATTCGGAATCACTCTGATTGTTAAGAACCTGAAATGTGACTGCTACCGAGGAACTGAGCATTTCAGTACAAACAAACAGACGAACAAACTACATATGACGACTGACTGAACAGCACAGGTGTGGATTTTAGTAAGTCTAGAGGAGAGGAACAAAGTATGGTCAGAGCAGCAGGCGGGGGTCAGACTTAGAAGGGCCTTGAAGGCTCACAGTAATGAGTTTAGATTTTCTCTTCATTATGGTGAGAAATTATCAGAAAGAGTGACACAGCCTGACTGCTGTCACCTCTGCATACTGAGCAGCAAAAGCTCCACTTGCCCTGAGGATTAAACCGGAAACAGGCTGGATGCTGACACAGGGAGTCAATGCCAGACAGTGCCAGCTTGCAGTGGGCAGAGGAAAGCAGTTAGAGATTAGTTTTGGAAGTAGGGCTAACAACATTGCTAGTAAATTAAGTATTGGCAGTGGCAAGGAAAAGAAAATCAAGTTTTATTCCTGAGTTTGATCATGTAGTGGAAGGAGACTCCAGAGTCTGGGGTGTGGAGGAACAAGGTTTCTGTTCTGTGTTGTCATTTCACCTGTATGCCTTTGCTGTGTTATGTGACATCATTAGCTAGCTCATTCCTTACCTAGTAAGTCACCCCACCTCCACTTGAACTTTAGTGTAATGCCATTGTGTTTGTTTGTTTGTTTTTGTTTTTCTGAGACAAGATTTCTCTGTGCAGCCCTGGCTGTCCTGGAACTCACTCTGTAGACCAGGCTAGCCTTGAACTCAGAAATCCACCTGCCTCTGCCTCTCAAGTGCTCCCTGCAACTTTTCTCTACACTTTTGTTGAGTCATTCTTTTTCTAACTTCTTTGGATAGTTGTCTACTGATATTTATTATCCTTATTATTTATTTATTTATTTTTATTTTATATGCATTGGTGTTTTGCCTGCATATATGTCTGTGCGAGGGTGTCTGGTCCCCTGGATCTAGAGTTACAGACAATCTTGAGCTGCCATGTGGGAACTGAACCTGGGTCCTCTGGAAAAACACCCAATGCTCTTAACCACTGAGTCATCTCTCCAGCCCCTTACTTAACTTCAGAATGTAAGCAATTCACCAAAGTCAGAAACCTAGTTAGAAGTAGCAACAGAAGCCAGCACTGTCCTCTGAGATGTGTGCTTTATTTTATTTTTAAATGAAATTAAATTGTATTTGTGTGTAAGTATATGTGTGAGTATGGGTGTCCTTTGGTGTTAGAAGAGGGTGTTAGGTTCTCTGGATCTGGAGTTATAGGTGAGCTGCCCAGTGTGGGTGCTGAGAACAAAGCAAGAGCCAGCCTCTGAGCTGCTGAGCCTTCCTCTAGCCCTGGGTTTGCTTTTCACCCTTTCACTTTTAGAAAGGAGAGAATGAAAGCTTCAAGAGTTAATATTCATTAAGCACTTGGTATGTTCTAGGTGTTACTCTAAACCAGTGGTGCTCACCCTTCCCAGTGCTGGGATTCTTTAATACAGTTCCCCATGTCATGGTGACTGCCACCATGAAATTACTTTTGTTGCTACTTCATAGCTGTAATTCTGCTACTGCTATGAATCATGATGTAAGTAGTTCTGGAGATAGAGGTTTGCCTCAGGTTGAGAAACACTGTTCCTCTCAGCAGTGTTTTCTGACTGGGTTCATGCTCCTTTCCTCTTGTTTAACTTCTCTTCTTATTGGTGCATGTGGGTGGGCAGGTATGGATGTTTATGCAGTAGCATGTATCAGAAGGCTGTTACTGTACATAGCAGGCTTGCTGGCACACGAGCTTCCAAGGATTCTGCCTCTGTTTCCAGGGAGCACTAAGACCATGGAAGCACACTATTGTGCCAGCCTTATGTGAGGTCTAGGGATTTGAACTCAAGTCTTCACATTTGTGTAGCAAGCTATGTATACACCAACCCATTTTCCCAGCCCATCACTTTCCTTGAAAAATGTTAGAGAGATGTCTTGGTGGTTAAGAGCATGTATTGCTATTGCAAAGAATCTGATTCTAGTTCCCAGCATCCTCATCAGGCAGCCCACTGCTGCCTGCAACTCTAGCTTCAGGGAATTCCGAACCTTTTTCTGGACTCTGCAGGTACCTGCACTCATGTCCTCCCATCTCACCCCCCCCCCAACCCCACACACTCAATACACATAATTAGAAGATAGCAGCACCTCATCCAGTCTGCTTCTGTTCTTGTCAGCCAACAGTGACATGCTGGCTGACATCAGTGGTTCTGTGTCAGCACCAGCACTTTGATCAGAATCTTTAGGAGTGGAAAACATTAACTTTTTAAAGTTAAGTGTTCTCTATTACAGGCTCCAGAATCTTGTAATAGCTAACATAACAAAGTAATAATGCTCAAAGCTGGTTATCATTTACCTTTTTCTTGGTGTGAAGGATCAAAGCCTGGAACTTAGGAATGCTAGACAAGTGCTCTGCCATTGAGCTGTATTCTAGCCCTCAATTAAAGCAGTGTGTGTGTGTGTGTGTGTGTGTGTGTGTGTGTGTGTGTGCGTGCGCGCGCGCTGAGTAGGTGTGCCGTACATGTGTGTGCATGTAGATGTGTGCACATGGAGGCCAGAGGTTGACTTCATGTGTTTCTGTGATAACATTCCAGCTATTTTTTTGAGATAAGAACTGAACCCGGAGCTCACCAGGTTGCTAGGTTGACTTGCATGAAAGCTTCAGTAATCTGCTCCCCAAGCCACAGCTAAATTTACAGATGCGTACTTAGCTAGTTCATGTGGCTGATAATCTGAAGTTGGGTCTTATGCTTGCTCACATGACCATCCCAGCCCAGCAGAAACATACAATCACTAATATACTAATAAACACTTAATTATACTTCAAATGAGTAAATTGTCCAGTATATAAATTATATCGCAATAAAGCTGTTGAAAACATAAAACAGCACTGACCGTATTTATTGTGACCTATAGTTTGTAGTCTCTTTACTGCAAAACTGAAGGGGATTTGCTTTTCTCCAGGACTCCTAAGTGACATCCTTTCATTGAGCTATATGCACTGTGTGCTTAATTAATTTTTTTTGAAAGATTTATTTATTTATTTTATATCTGTAAGTACATGATTGTTCTCTTCAGACGCACAGAAGAGGGCATCGGATCCCATTACAGATGATTGTGAGCCACCATGTGGTTGCTGAGAATTGAACTCAGGACCTCTGGAAGAGCCATCTTAACCGCTGAACCATCTCTCCAGCCCATATAACTAATTTTTGACCAATGTATTCTTGAAATAAAATTAGCTCATAACAAAATAAATAAATATAAGGACTGAAGCATATGGTGTTAGAATTTACTGATACTTAGAATTAAATATTTTTCTGTCTGTTGAGTATTCTTTCTCCAGCTCCCCTAAAGTTAGTATCCTCCACATTGCACAGGAAACTCAGGTCTCTTCCTGGCACCACTGTGTATGGCTGAGGGTCTCATGTGAGGGTCACAATTTGGGTCTTGCTTGTTTCTTCTTACTTTTCCTAGTGGGGCATGCTCATTATAACTGGTATTTTCCAGTTTGTGAACTATTACCACTTCTGTGTCTAATCATTAGTTTTACATTTGTATCTACTTTCCCATGCACAGTAGGAATGCTGAAGACATAAATTATTTGGCTCTACAGTATTAGTATTGGATTAGAACCAAATTCATGTAGCAAAATAACACATGGTGAAAGCGAGGGCTCTGTGTCTGTGATTTCAGGCAGAGTCGAATTAATTCTTTGAGAGGAGGTGTGAATACACATGTAATCCGAGGCATTAACACAACTGTGAGGAAAAATATTTTGTCAGTTCCCTTGTTTTGTTAGGCTTGCTCTGCCATCTGCCACTCTCGGGTTGACTAGCTGAGAGCACCCATTAGCAACAGGGACTCACAAGCGGCCACAGATCTGTCATTGCAAAATGAGACAGGCTCGACAATTCTGTTATTCTTTTGCTAGGCATCCTCTGAGAAGTCTTTAGTGGAGGTCGTTACAGGATAGTAAGTGTTTCTTTCATAGTGTCATTTGTATAAGATGTGTGTAACTTTCTGTTTGTCAGTCTGTTCTGGTTTAAAGAATTCCTTGTTTTGCTTCATTTTTACAGTCTATAAATCTAAATGTGTCAGAATAAATTATGTTCAGTAGTCTGAAGAAGGAATGTACATAATAAAATTGCGTGTTTCCATAAAAATGTATTCAAATCTAATAAAAGTCTCAGTACAAAAATGATGGCCTTGGGTTCTGGAGAGATGGCTCAGCAGCTAAGAGCACCAACTGCTCTTCCAGAGGTCCTGAGTTCAATTCCCAACAACCACATGGTGGTTCACAACCATCTGTAATGAGATCTGATGCCCTCTTCTGGTGTGTCTGAAGAGAGCGACAATGTACTCACATATATAAAATAAGTAAATATTTTTAAAAAAAGAAAGAATGATGACCTGTTATCTGAAATTCTAAATCAGAGCCCTTGAGATGGCTCAGTGGGTAAAAGCACTTGGCACATAAACCTGAGAGCTTGAGTTTAATCCCTGATCCCAAAGTGGAAGGAAAGATTCTCAATTGCCCAGGGTTGTCCTCTGACCTCCGTATGGAGGTCATACATGCTGTGACGTGTGTGTGCCTCCTTCCACGTAACATGCACACAGAAGACACACAGATAAAAATAGATACAATTTTAAAGCAAAATATTAAAGTTAAGTGTGATTGCACATACTTGCCTTTAATCCCAGCATTTATGAAACAAAGGCAGGTTGAGAGTTGAACTCTGAGAGTTCAAGGCCAGCCTGATCTACATGCTAAGTACCAGAACACCCAGGGGTATGTAGAGAAAAATCCTCTCTTAAAGAAAACAAACAAAGGTTTACCTTTGACATTAGATCTTAGTAAGCTTTACTACAAAATGTATGGACATTTTCTTTTTTTAACCCTGAAAGAAAAGAACAAAGATTGAAAACTAAAGATAATGACTGTGAACCAGGGCCTGCTTCGTGTCAGACAAGGAATCTGTCACTGAGCTATAGTCCCAATCTCTGTTTTGAATTAAGTTACCTAAAGGAGATGCCAAATAGTTCAAATCCAAGCAACAGTTAGTTACATGCAGAGGTTTTTATAGTCAGCTCATATGGTGTATTCTCTCCAGAGCAGCCCAGGCAGGCATCTCCCTAACTAGGGTTTCTCAGCCTCTGCTACCTTTCTCTCTGTGCACTAGGTGTCAGCACTTCCTTTCTCTGCCCCAGCTCTGACACCAGAACATCTCCAGACATTGTCACATATGCCCTGGGGACAATCAGCCCTGGCTGAGCGCCAGGACTCTAAGTACTTTAGAGAACAGGGCATAAGACATTGGTAAGGAGGAGAGGGGCTCCGTTAATTTATGCTTTATTTTTGTGTGAAAGTCCAGAATTTTTTGAACTTTTAATCAATTGATTTATTAAAAGAGATTGTCTGTCTCAAAGATTTACCTTTTCACACATCCAACAGTAGTCCCTGTCTTACCAGAAGAGCCATTTTTCAAGGTTTTTGGTTTTTTTTGTTTTTTGTTTTTTTTAATCATTTTGTAGCAGTGTCATAGAAAACAATAAACCCAAACCAAGATAACAAGCATTATCCACCCTACCAAATCAGATGTTTAGGTTCCTGAAACCATCTAAAAAATAAACTTATTTCAAACGGCTTATTGGGAGAGCTATCCTGAATCCATGCTTTATTGCAAGGTTTTGTTTTGTTTTTAAATTTTAACAGACTATAATTTAAGTGGGTTTTGGCTTATTTTTTTCAGTCTTTATTCAAATTCAGCATTTAAGAAACAGTGATTAAGGTGGTCAGTGGTGGCACATGCCTTTAATCCCAGCACTTGGGAGGCAGAGGCAGGTGGATCTCTGAGTTCAAGGCCAGCCTGGTCTACAGAGTGAGTTCCAGGACGGCAAGGGCTGGGCTACACAGAGAAACCCTGTCTCAAAAAACAAACAAAAAAAAAAAAAAAAAGAAGAAGAAAGAGGAAAGAAAAAAGAAACAGTGATTAAAATGTCCTGGTTTCTCTGTTGAGGATGATTTATCTCATTGCGATCATCTTCCTTGAAAAGCACTGATGGTTTTTGCTTACCTCCTGTACGGCAGATACACAGGAGGCTGCAACATTCCCGAGTGTCCTGGATTTGCAGTTTCACCCTGTGACTTTGAGGTCGGGAGGGTGACACATGTCTTTATCTGTTTTTCCCTCTTCCTCACACAGCAGCAGCTGCTGAGTCCACAGACCGAAGTCCTCGGCCCACCTCTGCCCCAGCCATTGCTCAGGGTCAGGTCACAGAAGGCCCAGGGGCATCTGTCAAAAAAGCACCAAAGGAAGCTGCGAAGGTTGAAGAGAAGCGGGGAGAAGAACCGCCTACTGAGCTGGCTGAGCCAGAGCCCACAGAAGCGTGGAAGGTATGTCTCAGACGCCAAGGTCTGCTAGTGCACGCTCTGAGTTACAGGTGATCTTACAGCTTCCCAACAAAGCTGCCTTTTCTCCTTGCTTCTAAAAGAAATCATCTCTCATCAATCTCCTGTGTGTTTTTCTAGAATTTGATTTTCAAAGAATAGATACTGCATAAAGCACATTTATAGAGCTGTTTAAAACTTTCCTAAATTCTTTTGGGAGGATTTTTTTTTTTTTATGTGTATGAGTGTTTTGCTTGAATTTATGTATGTGCACCATGTGCCTGCCTGGTGCCTGCAGAGGTCAGAAGAGAGCATCAGGTCCCCTGAAACTGGAGTTACAGATTATTGTTAGGTGCTGAGAATCAAACCCAGGTCCTCTGCAAGAGCAGCCAGTGCTCTTAACTGCTGAGCCATCTCTCCAGCCCAGTTACTTAAACAGTAAACAGCCCGATGAGGAGGAGATCTGTCTTGTGGGAGAATTATGCTTTTGAGTTGATCATTCTGAGTTTGAGTATACCCATAGTCACTGTACGAAGTTGAAAAATCACTAGTTAATTAGCAAAATTATAACTGAAATCATAACTGGACTTTTATATATGTTCAAGCTTTTAAAAAACATTTACACAGAGCTAGTTCAGGTCTGTTAAAGTAGATGCAGGTCTCACTGTTGTGAAGGGTGTGAGACACAGCAGCACTCCTGAGAATGGCGCTTGGTGTTCAGACCTTGGGGCGTGCCTTCTCTTCCCATACTGATAGTGTGTATAGATCAGGCTGCTCTTTTGGAGCCAGGTCAATGTCTGACTTGGTGTAGAACAGTGAGCAACTGTTATCTTAACTGCTAAACATGACATACAGGTTCTCTGTCTTGAGTGACGTTTGCCTGGTGTCCATGACATTGGTCTTCAGGTTCTGTGTGGCTTTTGAATACTTGCTCTGTTTTAAATGTTGGAATATATCAGCGTGCACTTTTGACTTTCCTTTTCCATGCTGATTAGAGAGTGTCAGGATATTGGAGTTGTTGATGAGTCCCCATGAAAGACTAAGACACCACTGGTCTTCTGCTCTTTCACTAGTTTTCCTTTTGTCCATAAAGCATGCAAGTACTTCAAAAATAAGTTTCTCTTGCCTGTTTTGAAGCTTTGGCAAAATGAAATGGGGGTTTACATGTTTCCCAGGCTAGCCTTGAACACCTACACTTAAAAAACCCTTCTACCTAATCTTCCTAATAGTGGGGACTATAAGTTTGTATCACTGCTCTCTTTTGGCATCAATTCTTTTTTTTTTCCTCCTCATTTAACTTTTTTTTTTTTATGCATTTGTGTTTGGCCTGTATGTATGTCTGTGTGAGGGAGTTGGATCCACTGGAACTTTAGTTACAGACAGTTGTGAAGCACTGTGGGTGCTGGGAATTAAACCCTGGTCCTCTGGAAGAGCAGATGATGCTCCCAACTGCTGAGCCATTTCTCCAGCCCCATAGCTCCAACTCTTTTTTTCCTTTTTGTTTATTCTTCTGTCATTACATCCTGGCTGCAGTGTCCCCTTCCTCCCCTCCTCACCCCCCTCCCCCCTCAGACCTACCTCCCCACCTCCTCTCAGAAAAAAGCAGGCTTCTCAGGGACATCAACCAAATATGGTATAGCAAGCTACAAGAGCACATAGTCTCACATCAAGGCTGGACGACTGGCCTCAGTTCTTAAACCAAAGTGGTGACTTTTCATTTTCTGCTGCTAGATCACTAAGGACCCAAAAGACGCTATTGTTCAAACAAGGAACTTAAGCTTCATCAAACAATTTAAAACTATTATTTGCAGAGTATACATAGTTCTATGAAGACATTGTGTCTGTTTTAAGTTGGACATGATGGCACATGTCTTAATTCCAGATCTTGGGAAATAGAGTTGGAGGCCAACCCAGGCTACATAGTAAAACTTGGTCTCAAAAACAAACAAACAAACAAACCAGAAACCGAGATGTTATCTCTATTCTATTACTGAAGAAAAGTTAAGCTCAGACAAGTGATTAACTTGCTAACTGGGATCTAGAACAGAGACCACTCAATTATTAATTACTCCTGGTAGTTCAACAGTGTCCTGGTTGGATGTGCATATATGTTTAGCAGTATTGCAGAGTCTGGTATTATCTAATTTTTTTTATATTTAACCTAGAGAAAATAGCACAGAGACATTGTTCTCCGGAGCAATGTTGCTTTATGCAAGTTAAAAGAATATGTCAAAACCAGAAGTTGACATGGTTCTGTAAAAAGTGAGTAATATAACAAAACTGTTTAACCCTTAGAAAAGACAATTCAGTTTCTAAATGTGAAATACACAGTGCTTTGTGCAGTAATCACTGTACGGCGTTTCCTCGTCATAATCAGGTCTTTGAATAATTACTCCAGTCTCTGACTATAGGATGGTTATTTCTAGCTGTATTCTAAAGATACACACAGCATCCTTAGGATAATATTCTTCTGCTACTACTAAGGATAAATCTTGCCTGTCTGCCAAGCATGTGGGTTCCTAGAGAGGAGACTGCAGTGTCGGATGCTGCAGCTGAAGTGGAAGGTAGTTAGTTGCATGTGTCAGTTATAATTTGCATGTAATTAATTTTATGTTCCCCTTCATGAACTGAGGAGTAAACTGTCTTCTTAAATGTATTGATCAGCTAACAGAGTCTTTTGTGTTTACCTATTTGGTGTCTTACGTGCTTTATTACATGTGTCTTACTATAAAAATTATCTATTTGTTTCTGTCATGTATATTACACATTTATATCTTGATTTGTAAACGTGTTCTGAAATATGATTTGAAGTACTCGAGGCCCGAAAGGTAACTGGGAGGATAAAGTGTTTGCCTGAGTTCAGATCCTCAGACCCCTCAGGAGCACTTGTGTCTGTAATCTCAGCACCCCACTACTGGGAGAGGGGAGGCAGAGTCAGGAAATACACACACCCTTGGTGGACAAGAGAGACCCTGTCTGAAACAAGGTCGAAGGTGAACGATGACACCTGAGATTGTCTTCTGACCTCCACACAAGTGCCGTGATGTACGTAGTATACACACACACACACATACACACACACTCACACACACACAAATATGTCTAGGTTATAAACAAGAACATACAGCTTAGTATTAAGCCTAGATTACTGCTTTTGTGAGTGCTTTTTAAAAAATAGGCATTAAAATGCCTTTTTATCAATAGGGTGATTAGTTCAGTTTTCTTTTTTGGTAATTTGGCTACCTATATTACCTCTTCAGCCTTGAAACTGTCATAATGAACTACCAATGTTACTGAGAATAAAACCTTCCCTGCTGGGGGCATCATTTTCACCCCTAGCTCCATGAAGCAGCTTAACTATCCATGGAAGCCTGCTAACCTAAAATGTTTCACTATTTTATTTCTTAAATGTAGGTGGAAAAAACCCACACCGAGGTCACAGTACCTACCTCAAATGGTGACCAAACACAGGTTTGTGCCAACAAGCCATTTGTTCCTTTCCCTCCCTGCCACCCCCCCCACTGTCATTTTTAATAACTCCCCCATTCTGCTTTACCTTAAAAATAAATAAAAGTTCAAATAAACTTCAATGAGCCAATATTTTATCTTTTTCTTCTTTATTGAATTGTGGCAAAACAGAAGCTTGCAGAAAAAGGTGAAGATCTGATAAGAATGAGGAAGGTTAGCCTATTTTCACTTTCACAGCGAGGCCACCATCTCATCCATGCTGCTTACAGTGTATTAAAAAGACAGTGGTCCAGCCTTTGAGTCTTCTTCATCAGAAATTACTCCAAGAGAGGCAGTATGTGGGGAACCATCAAGCAGTATAGTTGGGATGTGTATTTGCACACATGCACATGCACACACACACTCACACACATGCACACACACACACACACACAAAGAAATTAGACTGTTTATGGACAGGTTTTATCTAGGTAAGCTTTCAATATTTAAGTCTCTTAATGAAATGCAATTGTGCAGGCCAGACCTATCTTCCAGGCTCAAACTTTACAAGAACTTTCCCAGTGACATACTAGTAGACCTATTAGTATTTTATACATGTTTATCGCAAAAGCTGTCGTAGCAGGAACTTCCAGCATTAACAGTATGCGATTAACTGCTGTGTGCTTATTTCCCAGCCTCAGAGTGGGATGAACCAGTTCTTACTGGATGTACTTTTTAGCTGATTAAATCCAGAACACGGTAGACATTCAGATACTGCAGTATTCAGAAATGTAAAACTCTCCAAAAGGCTAGGTGTTTTTATGGCATCTCTCCACTCCATGGTACATTGTGTCCAAACCTTTTAGAGTTATATATTATCTTAAGGTAATATTCAAATAGCTCAATTTCTAATAACAGTGTATTGTGTTAGAAGCAATGAAGCGGGAACACTGTCTATTTAAATACCATCGTCACGGCTTCCCATCGTCCGCAAACAAAGGTCATCGTTCCCCTCTGGTAACCATGCTCTGCGTCCGTGTGTGTCTGTGACCATTTCATGTTGGCATTTGCTGCATCGCACATTTACTTTTAATTGTTTTTTTGTTTGCCAATTTGCAGTTTGTTTCCCCGCAAGAACAACGTTTTAATTTTTTTATGCTTCTGTTTTTCTCCCTTTCGTTTTCACAGAAAAAGAGAGAGAGACTAGATGGTGAAAACATTTATATCAGACATAGCAATTTAATGTTGGAGGTTTGTATGAACTTGAAGCTTATTTCAGTTGGTGGCCTGGAACCTTCTGCATTCTGTGCTAATCCCCTTCACTCTGCGCTGCGTTTGGGTTTGCATGCCACTGCATGGGAGACGCTTAGGTTTAAAGTGCCTTTGCATGTTGGTAAACATGAAGATAAGCAACCATCTCTCCTAACCTTTCGTTTGCATCTCTCATACTATCTAGAGAAATATATGATTGGAGCTGCCTCCCCGTTCATGGTTCTGCTGTTTTGTCCCCTTTCAGAACATTCAAATAGCATTGCTAAAAGTTTCTTCAATTTTCCAAGAGGATAAACTGTAAATGTCCCAAGAAAAAAATTTGCACTGTTTTTCCCCCTGAACTGAGAAGAGTATTTAAAAAAAAAAAAAAGAGGGAAAGTGATTGAAATTCACTTGGGCTTCTGCATTAGAGAAAGCAAAAGTTCCTGAAGAAAGAAAGGTTGGGAAGGAAGCCTAGCATTGAGGGGTGGTTACCACAGGCTTAACCATAAAAGTAAACTTGTGAGTAGGATCTTTACTTTTAAGATGAAAACACTGAAGCTAAAGAATTTAAGTAGTTCTCCAAGGCCACAGAGCTGATAAGTTGATAAAGCTGGAATCTGACTGAGGAGTTTTATGATTTTCTTCTCAGAAAGAGTCCTAAAGTTCTTTTTCTATTCATTCAATAGTGACCAGATTTTTACCTCAGCTCATAGACTTTTCCTAGTCTGGAGCTCCATATTGGGTATGAGATGTAAAACCAATTTGGAGATTAAAGAAACTCCATGAGAAAAATTAAGAAAATTGGAATTATTCTCTGTGGAAGACAGTGGGACCAGTGTAGTCTGTACATGAGAAAATCTCCTAAATAGAAGAGGAAGACTATATTATATAACAATCAAGGCAGAACCGAAAGAAAAGAGTATAAACTTACATCACGGTGTGGCTTCCCTGGGGAGGATTGCAGGAAGCTTGCAGTGGGGGCGCTGAGGGAGAGAAAGGAAGAGCAGCACCTAGCTGCAAGCTCGTAGAAACCTGTAGGAGATAACATCGCTCTGCTTCAGGGGGTCTACTCTAAGACACGAGGTCTCAGGAAGTGTGTTGCCTCGGCCTCCTGCACGGGCATTGCAGGTGTGAGCCACTGTGTCCCGTGAGGTAGCATGCAGCTGAGACTTGAGAGAAGAGCCATGTATTAAATATCTCCAATGTGAAAGTTTGAAGAAACTTAAAAAGTATCTCTCTGGCCAGGCAGGGTAGCACATCTTTAATCCCCACACCTGGGAGACTGAGAAGGAAGATCAGGGGTCAAGGTCATTCTCAGCTTTATATTTTAAGGGCAGTCTGGGCTACATGAGACCTAGTGTCAAATATATATATATATTTCTCATTAATATATGGCCTGTAAGGATTATTTATTTATTTTTTTGTCAGTAGCTATATTTTGAACATCTCTATATAAGGCACTTTAATACAAATATTAAAAATTATGGATGACCTTCATTTACTGTGTACTGAATGATGGCACATGGCCAAGTGCTTTACTTCCATTTGTCTCATATAACATAAGACCTCCATGGGATCACCGTCTAAACTGTATCTGAGGCCTGAGACCTTTTTTGTTTGGTGATTAGGAAGGACAAGGCATGTCCAGTGGTCACCACTTCATGGGATAGCGTCTCCCCACTGCAAGTAGTCCCTGAACCTCTGTGCCAATCATATATTTATCATTTCTTCCATGAGGTGTGCTGTGGCTTCTGAGACTCACAAAATTCCTCTGTCATCTGTGTTTTCTTCCGTGGCATTTTACTGAGAGCCCTGAGAGGGGATTTTTGAATATGTGTGTGTTTGAAATTTAAAACTACTAACTGCCTTTTGAGAACATTGTAAATTTAATGAAGTGTTTGGTTTTATTGCTGCTAAAATCCTAAGATGATAGGCCTTAAGAATTATCTAACCTGAACATAACCTTTTGACCATCATTCCTTAGTAAAAAGTGACCCCAAGGAGGTTCTCTCAAGTTCTCTGTTGTTGCTCTGGAGCGTTTTTTTTTTTTTTTTGAAGCATCCCTCCCACCCTCCCTTATCACACCCCCACTAATGCTTTGTTCTGGCACAAATAAGGTCGAGTTCATTTTTAGATCTACCGCCTCCTCCTCCATCTCCCAGAGAGAACCTGTAGCAAATGTCTGTGACAAATTCTATCTGGAGCAGGTCCCTTTGAGATCTTAATTTTATTCCATGCTCCCACAAGTTTCCAATAAAACAGCTAAGAAGGATGGAGATAGCTCCCTCAGAAGCTACCAGTTTTATTGAAAAATATATTTTCTCAGGTTCCAAACCAATCAAAAGCTATTCAAGAAGAGTTACAAGTCATCAGGTGCAGCTCCGGCTGGGTCTGAGTTATGTTTATCCCAGTATCTCATGGTCCGTTTTGTTTTGCCTTGCTTGCACTTTTAATCATCCCAAATTTGTTAGGTTGTTCTTGGCCCAAACAGATTTAACATCCAGTGAGGACCTGGGTCACAGACTCTCAACATGCCTGACAGGTTTCAGCTGCTCAAAGACTAAGTCTTGAACTTGTACATGCTTATCTTCCTTGCTTTCAGCTGTAGCACAGTTGTTTTCCCCCTGGAAAAGCTCACGTTCCTAAGATAGGCTCACATTTCTTCTTAGTAAGTGAGAGATGCTAGTTATAAAGAGCTACAGTTACCTTTGGGGATTAGTTATCTCTGTGCTTTCAAAGCAAATACACATAGGTCAGTCTTTCAAAAACAGAGAGAGAGAGAGAGAGAGAGAGAGAGAGAGAGAGAGAGAGAGAGAGAGAGAGAGAGATTAGTTCATGAGTTTCTGAAGGAGCTGCCCCAGAATTCAGATGTCATGTGAGTCCCTGGGTTTTGTATTTTTTTTTCTCCTAGATAGCAATTTGGAGAAAGTTTTATTTAGTTAAGGTCTTTCTTGCCTGCAGGAAGGGGAAAAAAAAACCATTTGATACAAAAAAAAATTCTGTATTGTTTTGTTTTTATTTTTGTTTTCCAAAGTGAAATTATTTCCCACAATGCCAAAAATAGACAAATCCCAAAGTTCACACAGCATGCCAGGGATCCATTTAGCTTCATGCTTTCCTTAGATACTAAGTTGCCCTAATGGGAAGTAGACACAAGATTGTGTTGTAGCTGCAGGTTCCAGCTATTGTGACCTGAAACTGAAGCTTTTGTATGTGTATTGTTAGACAAAGAGCATTTGAGTCTTTGTCTTCGAGATATATTTATTGGACTCCTTTTGGTCTGATGCCCTTTGTAAAAGAAATTATTATGCATCTCTTTTTAACAACAAAAAAATCTGTATGTGTCTTAGCCCATACTTTATTAACCTTAGTTTTGATTGTCTCTCTCTAGAGTGTTACCTTAAAGAAACGTTCATCTGTTAGGCAACCTCCAGTTGCCTAATATTCAAACTGCTAGGACAATTGGATTGTTTTAAATTATCAAGGAGAGATATGAGACTCTATTGACAGTCACTGGAAGTCTTTTGTGAGTGGTGCTGGAGATTAAAGCCAGGGCTGTGTGCTTGATAACAAGCACTCTATCACCAAGCCACTCCCCCAGTATAGGTCCCAGTAAGGCTCTATTTTGCATTAAGAGAAGTGAAACGGGAAACCATAGGGTTTTTATAGTGTAGGGAAAACACTGAAAATTAAAAAACAAAATAGGGGTGATAGCTTAGGTGTGAAAGTGTGAGGACCTGAGTTTAATCCCCAGAGCCCATGTAAAAGTGCTGGGCCTGGTGCTGCACACTTGTAACCCCAGAGCTGGGGCAGTGTGCACCAGAGCATCCCTGTACCTTGGTGGCTAGCCAGCCTAGCCCTTGGTAAGCTCCAGGTCAATGAGAGACCCTGCTTCAAAAGAGGTGGACAGTGTTTCTATCCTCAGATGAATGCCTGAGGTTGTCCTCTAGCCTGACTCGGACATGCATGCACACATACAGGTGAATAATTAAAACAAAAATCTTTGAAGTCATTTTATTTCTTTATTTTTAGAGGTAGTAACAATTGATTTTGGAAGTCTAGAAATAAGAATTTTAGTAATAAATTCTTGAATCAAAATAGGCCTTAATAATAGAGAAGCTAAAGTATTACAGTGGGCAGAGGGGGATTCTCAGTGTTGCGGCTCACTCACCAGGACAGCAGCTAGTGGAAGCTGAGGTCATTCACCATGTCCTCCATTCATCAGTTTCCCTGTTGCTATCTCCATCCTGCCTGAGCTAAGCCTAAATCAGTTCTCCTCAAGCTGAGGCTAATGGAATTGTGGGGTTGCCTTCAGGATGAGGAGGTGGAGATCTAGTTTTGCATCCTTGGTGGAAGAGGAGACACAGTTAAGGAACAAGCACTTCACAGGCAGTTTAACTACAAGCTATGGGACTGTGATGCTTCACTACTTCCAAGTACAGCACTTTGTTTGTTTGTTTGTTTGTATGTTTGTTTAAAAAGGCAAAGAAATATGCAGTGTTATATATTTACGATCTAAATGCAAAATGCAGGCTGTTAACGCCTGTCCTGAGTGTGGTGTTTCCTACCAGTGCCCACTCTCTGATGGGTTCCCTAGGTGCGTTTTTTGTCCCAACTATTTATTGTTTTGTGTCTTTATCCTTCAACTGTAGGATTTAGACAAGAGCCAAGAAGAGATCAAAAAGCATCATGCCAGCATCAGTGAACTGAAAAAGAACTTTATGGAATCAGTACCTGAACCACGGCCCAGCGAGTGGGACAAGCGCTTATCCACACACTCACCCTTCCGGACTCTTAACATCAACGGGCAAGTCCCCACTGGAGATGGAGTGAGTACTGTGTCCACATGACTGTGAGGCTGAGTGCAATAAGTATGTTCATGTTCATTATGTATGTTAATAGTCTGGATCCGAGAGCTTCGAGCTGAAGTCTGGCTTTGACAGTTTAACAGTTTGTTGCTGCTATAAAACATTCCTGACCATTTAGGTAGCTCAGTTCAGCTGAGTCCTTTAGAATGACTCGTGGATGTCAAGGCTCTGAGAAATGCTCACAGCTGCCTGCTTCTGGCTAGTTTGTGTTTATAAACTGACTTCATGCCAGTGAAAAGTGCCTTCCCTGACCACAGAGTTTGCTAAACTTAGTAAGGTCACATTTGGAAGGGAGTGTATCTTTTTAAAACTTTATTTGAATATTTGTACAACTTAGAAATGTCTGGAATGATGGCTCACAGTTATATAAGAAACAAAAGAGGCCCTGAAGCCAGAGAATGTAGAATGTTCAATTTCAGAAAAGCAACTGATGACTGATCTTACATAACATAACATCAGACCTTCAGCCAGCTGTTTATGAGACAGTTCTGATCAGAAGAGACCAGAGACACCTTTCAGGGTCTGTTCTCTATTTTTGTTGCCATTTCCTACTTTGGAAACCCTACTACAGAATAAATAAATCTGTTTAAAGGTAGTATCTTGTCAAATTTACGTCTAAAACGTCTTTATCTTTAGCCAGTATGCCATCTACATGAGCGCTCACCATAGCTTAACGACTGATGTAATGGTGTGCTCACTTTGGCCCCCAAACAATAGCAGCTCTAGTTGAAAAAGCCAAAGCATATCTCTAATAAAGTCCTGAGGGTACCTGGCATATACCTGCCATTTCAATCCTGTGGGACTGAGGCAGAAGGATCATCTGAGAAAAGGATTTTGAGGCTGAACTGGATATATAAATACTTTCTCAAAACAAAACAAAAATTAGGTTTAAATTTTTTTTTAGGATTCTTGATAATCTATCCAGATATATCATTTATTACTTAGTTTCTGGAACTGTAGACAGGGATAAAAACTCTTCCAAGAATACCTTTTGTAGTTTTCAAATTTGGATTAAAATTAGCTAACAGTTTCACAAGTGAGATTGGAGGATACCTCTGTAACAGGCAGCTGAATAGCTACTGGACTGGATGGGTAGATCCAGTTGTTTCCCTGCATTGTCCCCTCAGACTCTGTTCCCGGACAGACACGTGCTCTTACTCTGTAGTATGCACTTTGAACTGGTAGAATAACCTTTCTTTCTGGATGAGACTTATTCTGAAAGGCAGATAATTCATTTTGACATATCCTTAGAAATAAGACTCATAAAGGTCCAAGAATAGTTGTAGTTTGAATTGACTGAGAAGATCTGGCCAACCAAAGCCTAATAAATGCTCTGAGCAAGCTATTTGTCTCGTACATCCTTGCTTACCTGGTGTTCTTCATGTGAATGGCTTGTTACTATCTCATCTATTAACACACCACACACACACACACACACACACACACACACACACACACACACACACTCTCTCCCTCTGAATGAATGAAGGAATGAATAATCTTTTGTGCCGGGACAACTCCACTTCCTGGCATATCTTGCTATGGTGAGGCTAACTTGTCTGCTCTCTGGAGATGCCTCTCCTACCTTTGTCAGCTTTGTTGTTGCATTGCAAGGCAACTGAACTTATATAATTTGTGTATGACCAGGTGAAGAAAACTTCTGTCCTCCCCTCGGAAAGAAAGGTTGGTGGGCCAGAGGTAACGCAGCTGCTGTGACTGTGCTGTTCACGCAGAACTTGCTCTTGTCATGGCACTAAACAGAGCACCCCCCAGACTCAACCACAGCGGCTGAATCATGATTTTCTTTTGGCTATACTGTAAATCCACACCACAGCCTTTGCCTCACACACCACATCCCTCTGCTGCAGCACTGCAGTCCTGTTTGCTTATTTCAGCGCATGGCTGGTTGAAAAAGCTGCATGAAGTTGTTGATATGTACTTAGAGAGAAAGTGAATTTAATTATACCCTATTCTTTTTATGTTGTCTTTCTTCTCCCACCTTATCTTCATTTAAAAATCATTATAATTTTGCATCCTGTGTCTTTCCTTTTATTCTTTTTGCTGATCAGTCCCCTAGCTACTTTATCCCCAATACATATCACTTAGGGGTGTGCAAAGAACCGGTATTCAGCTTCCAGACCGACCAGAGAAGGCTAGCCCAACTAAAAGAACTCAGAGCCAAGTTTTTCCTCTCATAGATACCATCTGCCTTGACCATGGATAGCAGAATACAGAGATGCAGGGGAGGAAAAGTCCAAGTTGACCAACTGGGGAGTGGGGAGGACACTTCTCTTAAAAGTTATCAAAAGTATTTGCTAAGTATATAAACCTTCATGATGATCATAACCATTTCAGTCAGGATTCCCAGGCTGTGCAATCACTGAGGTCTTGTGGGGCTGTATTTGCCTTTCTTGTTCTTCTCTGTGGCTGCCCTCACTCCAGGGTAGACCCTGGAGACACATTATACAATTTATAATTTTGTTATTATCTTGCAGTCTTTACCACTATTCCACTGAGCTATTGCAGTCAGAGTCTTTTGAAGAGATATGAAATTGCTCTTTATATTCTGCCATTCTATTTGTTAGTAAAAGTAACAACAAGCAGAATGCTTCGTTATTGACACTGTCTGATGCACTGATGTTTGACGGCATCAAGGCAATTAGAAATGATCTGCAATCCATATGTGGAAAAACGTTCATGCACAAATAGCCTCACCAGGACAACAAGTGACAGAGAGAGAGGGGAAGCCGGTGACTGCTTGAACTTCCAAGTGTTCCAACACTGGTTTATTCCAAACACTAAATTTTAATTTAGTTGTATAGTTAAATCTGCAGGGTAAATTGCCAAAGTAGAGAGGCACTAGTACATCAGGAGCATCCAGAAGATCTTCCCACCCCTTTGCACATCCCCAAGTATCACTCTTAAGCATTTTCCATCTGTCATTTTGTTCATCTCTCTGTCTTTCTTGATCTTCTACTGTGAAAGCAGACACAGGAACGTGCTCTGTTAGTACAGGGTGAAGAAAACAGTAAAAGGCCAGAGAGATCCACTGAGAGAACCTTGCCCCAGCGAGAAAATGAAGAGATTGCTCCCAAGGTTTCTATTCCAATCCCCGAGGAACACAAGGCTCTCAAAAAGTGCCGCCTCTACTCTAGTGCTTTTCCATCACCTCGTGTCCCTTTCATGATGTCTTTTCTCCTGGTCCTTGCCCTGGCTGTTTGGTGGTTGATCTTTCTGTGATTGGAAAACAGGGTGCTCATCTGACATGTCAAGGCTAAAACCACCGAACTCTGTCTCTGGCTTCAAATGTGTAATTGCCTACGTCACGCCTTGGATCATGAGCGTTCACTGTCATAGAGACCTCAAGCGGTCATTTTTTTCTTGTCAATAATAAAATGTGAATCTCTGCAGAGTATACATTGTGAGGAAAAAGGAGTAGCAATGGATTAGCCCACCAGTGCTCCTACCCCAAAGTTAACTGGTTCAGGGAAATCAGATGGAGGTGCATGGCAGGTGGTCGTCACCCCAAAGCTACCGTGTATGCTCTTACTGTTGACCTGCTTTGTCCTCCTTTTTGGTCTCACACAGACTGGGACACTCTGAAAAAATTTGATGGACTATTTTCCCAGTCTTCTATAGCCATTTTTGTGGCATGGGTTCTGTAGTTTAAGAAGAAATTCAACTTCCCAACCTTTGAAAAGCCTTAAAATGGAAGTTTTAATTAAAAAAAAAATCCATAACCACTCCTTTTCTTAGAGTGTCTAATCAGTTCATACAAAGGCCTTTTCTGGAAGGGGCTTTGACACCTGTGGCCTTTTTGTGAGTGTTTATGAGCTGTATGGAATAGACAACTTATCCTGCCTGGTGTGTAGAAGAATCAAGCAGAGATTAAATGCTGTCTTTTCATGCATAGAGAGTTGATTTAGTAAGGGAAATGGTGCTGGTGTCCCTTGGCCTCTAGCCAGGGTGGAAAATTTCAGACTACCTACCTTTAAAAGTCCTGGAGTACAGATTAACTTGAGATCTGTATGTAAACATACTTTTCTCTAAATTAAAATATTGTTACTTCCTTATGGCATAAGTATATTGCTAGAAGCAATATTTAACTGTTATAGTAAGCTTAAATGATACTTTGTTTCCTTGTACTTCTATTCTCCCACTTGTGTTAAAATCAACTGTTTCTAATCAGTAGCCTTGGATCTAAGCTTTCACTGTGACATGTGTCCAGTATGCATGTTGATTATAAGGCTTCCCTGATGTAGAGGTGAGCGCGCCCTCCTCAGAGCACCACTTAGATGCTAAGTTGGTTTCTCACCTCACTGTATTAACCTTGCATGATGTCGCTTGCTTTCTATGGCATTTGAACACATCAATCTGGATGAGTTGTTAACTTATCAGAAACTATTTTGGACTCTGAGTTAGTCATCACATTGAGACTATTATCTTTTATATTATTTCTTAGTGTTTTTTGGACAATGAAATTTCTAAAGATGGTTTTTGCCTTTGAAAAGATGGAGGGGGAGGGGGAAAGAGAGAGTAAAACAATAAAACCAAACATTTTGTTGTTGTTCCTCAGTGCTCAGTAGTATTGATCTGTTGTCTTGACAGATAGGATTGTCTGATATTTACTGAAAACTGCTATGGTATACTCTGTCATTACTGGACTTAGGAAAAAACCTGGAAAAACCAGGCCAGATTTTAAAAAAAAAAAAAATCTGGATATATGTGGTTTGTGTTACAAGTTATGTCTATTTATAACAAACATTTTGTAAATAAGCATATTTATTGATTCATTCATAAGAAAATGGATTGCAAAGCCCTCTGGAGTACTGCAGAACTGCTTTGCAAGGTAGAACATGAGAATCGTAAGGATGGCCCTTTATCTGTGATGAGATGTAAGCTTTCCTTAATGAAGTTTAATCAGAACTAGCATTGGTTATGTTCTTGTAAGTTTTTTTTAGGAATTAAAAATTAACCTTAAAATTTTATCAGTACTTTTGTAACTTTCAAATTATATTTCCTACAGTTCCAGTTTTCATTGTTATACATGGCTTTTTATTAATTACTGTAAACATCACCCTGAATTTTATTTCCTTTTATATTGGGATTATTTCAACTCCATTAAAAGTTCAGTGTGATCCAATGGCACTGTTCAATGTTGCAAGAATTTTCAGAAATCTTTGCTAACAAAGAAACCACTTCTTATTAGTAACGCTGCTGATAGGTGGATGCCAAGTCCTTAGATTGAACAAAGCTGATGAACTTGGGCTCAAAAGATACATGTCATAATTATCAGAGGACAGACATCAGCTGTTCCAGCCCTGTGTGAGATCCAGTTAATGCTGCCAATGCGACAAGCTGCGGACAGCATCTCTTTCTCTCCACCACTTCACCCCATTCTCAGAACCATGAGCATTCCAGTAACTGGGTCCCACTTTACCCTGGGCCACCTTCTTGATGGCCAGTCCAGAAGTAATGTGGACTAAGGATATTGATACAGACCTGTGTCAAGTGTTGAGGTTTTGCCTTGTTTTCCTGTGAATCATTTCCAGAGTGAGTTGAGGAGATCTTAACTATCTGGTGCCCATATTTCCAACCAGTTCCTTACAGACAAATCTTCCTTGTGAGACTGACTCTGTACTGTGTTTCAGGAAGTGATGATGTTCAGTCTTCAGTTTCTGAGGAGCTAGCAAGATAGAGTTTTTTTAAAAGCAGACACATGTGAACCTCTTGAGATCCATCTTGAAGCAGCCATGTTAATTTCTGTCTGCTCCTGGCTGATATTTGACGAAGCACTTAAAACTAGTAAAGTTAAAAATGCTTTTCCAGATGTATCCAGCTCTTAGTAAATTCAGATGGTATTCTCTGAGCAGCGTGTACTCGGGAATAAGCCCAACTTCTATATTTTAGATCTGTTTTTTAGCTGTTTGCTTATCGCTAGCATTTGTAGTATGAAGTAGATTCCATTTGCAAGTCTTACAACTTTGTTTACATAGTTAGTAAAAATTTTAAGGAGGGGACTGACTGTTGATCAAGACAGGAATCACCTCTGGAGCTGTCCTGCTGTCATTGGAGAACCCAGGGGCTTCCTAAGCCCCTTCTGAGGTGGTTTCTATGACAAACCCACGAGGTACTCTATATCATTGAGGCACAGTTAGGGGTTATCACCAGTAAGAATGTATGCTTGTGCTTCACCCAGTGGTCATTTGCTTAGAAAAGGGAAAAACAAGATGAACTTCTGTCTCACTGCTGCTCCCTCGGGGAGCTCTGCAGAGCTGTCTCCTCCCGCTTTATGCTTCCTACAGATGATGAACTTCACGGTTCTCCACATGGAAACCTCCCCTCTTCCTTATGCCTAACTACTCACTCCCTGTTCTTTGTGACCTCGACCCCAGAACCAGAGGCAGCTCCTGCTATCCTGCTGTCTGCTTTGTGGGATTCCTTCTCCTGCCTCCTCTATACTACTCTGTAGTATTAGTGAGCCGCTCTCCTGGCTGCCGCTGTCACCCCTCATGCCTTAGGGTCCCCTTGTACCAGGGGTACTGGGATGGAAGAGGCAGCTGGATGGTTGTGAAGGTTGCTCTTGTGGTTAGGAAGCCTCTGGAGTTAGGCCAGGCCAGGCCAGCAGTGGCCATGACCCTCAGGATTAAATTTAGGGGAATTTTATTTGGTAAATAGATAGC